AAATATGATATATTTTTTCTAAAACATTATAATCATCTTTCTTAATATCTTCGATCCCTCACTCACTTGATTATGGTTGAGAGAGTATCTATAAAGATAATTTAGAAAAAATTAATAAATATAAGAAATATGTCTTCTATTTATGGTCAAAATTAACTTAACAATTAGGTCCTATATTAAGGACTGGAGGAGTAACAATTTATTCATTCAATCTGTCTTGCTTGCTATGGCTTTCTCTTCTTAAAATAACTACTACTTCTAATCCTAAATATAAGAGCTAGTTGACTAATTTGAGCAGATTAAGTAAATAAGTTAAGTTAGTTATTTGTAATAAATAGGTGTTGTTTTTCTTAAAATATCCTTGCTAATCAGGGTTATTGGCTAGAACTACCATTATTAGAAGGAATATCTTGAAAATAAATAAATAAATATGAGAGACAAAATGGATTGAGGTAATAAATAGGTGTTATCTTTCCTAGCTAAAATATCCTTACTAATCAAGATTATTGGCTAGAGCTACTATTATTAGAAGGACTATCTTGGAAAAAAAAAGAATAAATATGAGAGACAAAGTAGATTGGGGTCTTATATTTATGACCAAAATATATAAAAGTCAAATGAGATATTATATTAAGGACTGGAGGTAGCTAGTATCAAATCCACCTTAATTATAATCTCTTTCTTATTTAATTCGTCATGACGACCATCATTCCAGAGATCAGATAACATTTTATATATGTACCTTCAATTATCAATAACTCAATGTTATTTCTTATTTCTTTTTTTTATGATAACTCAATGTTATTTCCCCATTGTATTACATATTCAATTCATGTTAATATACTGCTCCTAATTTTATAAGTACTTCTACTTCAATTTGTTGTTTTTTTTTTTCAATTTGTTCAAACTCTTTTCATTGAAATTTTTTTATATATCTCAGCTCTCGTCCACTCTAATGATTCTACTGTTTCTCTGCCTGATCATCAACTCTTGCCATCTCCGATGCACATATGATTTTTTGTTTTAGTTGGGGGGATCCATAATGGAGGGTCGTAAAAATAATAAAAAAGATATTATGAGGTGATTAAAAAATTAGGCACATGAAAAGATGGAGATGATGGAGAATGAAGAATGGATAGAGAAGTGGGTTGTCCACAAAATGCATAATGGAGGGAAGCCACGCTTAAGTCTGCCTCCAATCCCCTCCATCCATCCACCCACTCCCCCCCTCCCCACCCTCTTCCTAAACGACAATCTCCCATCACCTTCCTAATATTCAATACAATATACCAATAATACCAATAATATCTATCTACACACACACACATATCACAATTCATTCATGTCTAAACACTGCAATTAATTTCCTAAGCACAGAATATAAAATATTTTTCTTTCTACTTTAAATGGTGGGCACTAACTATTTAAAATTACAAGTGAAATTAAACTTGTAACAATTTTTTTTTAAATTTAGAGTGTAAACACTAACAGCTTCAGATTATAAGTGGGGTTTAACTAGTGATCTCCCACTACAAAAGAGTTTTTATATTGCTGTACTGCAAGATCATTGTCAAATTGTATAAAAAAAACCAATTACATGTATTATAACATTTTTTGAAAGTTCACGTAACAAATTAAAAAAATATGTTTAGTTTATGATCAAAGATGAATCAAAATCAATATAAATACGTTGCGTGGTAAAAAAAAATCAACTTAAACACGCAATATAAAATCTCTAATGAGGTGTAGTTGTTCATAAATTAGGAAAGTGAGCTAATATATTCACGTCACAACAATTGCCTAACAAATTATTTATAGCACTTGTCCCGATCCAATTAAATTAACTAATTCCGTTGGTCCTTTGGATAATATTTAAGCCTAACATCGTACCCCACTGCCCCTAGCCGGCGAACATGGTGGCTGGTACTGTCCTAGATTCGCTCTCCATTTCCATTCTTCCAACTATTTTTACTCCTTTGGTATAGAAAGATTTACAATAAGGTCCCATACAAAAAAATAATTATAAAACAAGTCCCAGAGGTTGTTATTATTCATTCTAGAACTTGTTACTACAGGCTATTTAGTTGTTATTGAATCTTTTAGTAGTTATTTCTCTTGTATGAGATTTGACTGTCACTCTCCCTTTCATATATTATCCATTTTATTCTTTAGCCCCATCTCTCGCCTTCCCTTCTCTTTCATTAATTTACTTTTATCATACAACTAGCTTTTGAATTAAATTTATATGTGACCTTTTATATTTTATTATTACATTTTACGATTTTTATTAAGTGTTGAAATTATAAAAAAGTTGTTGTAAACGATACTGATAAAATGATGAAACTCGATCGTATTATTGTAATTGTCGTGATAAAACAGAATTATTTTGCATTATTTTAATAAATAGTTTGGTGACTCAATAATGGTCACTAAGACTTTTAAGATCCAAGGGGTGGTGGAAATAATGAGGAATATTGTAAAATCGCCAATGATTCAACGTATTATTTGATGTGAAGTATTGATTTGGAATTTTATAAATTGAAATAACCTTATGAGATTATAATGTGAAATGATGTTTTTGTAGAATTTTTTCCTATTAGTTAAAAAAACTCTTTCATGTTAACATGGCACATCCACAAAAATCCTTAATTTTAGATATAAAAATATACAATTAGTTTAACAAATCAGATTATTTTTTATCAAGCAAAATTCAACCTAAAAATTCAGACATTAGGTCTTTAATGATTTTTTTCTAACGGGAAAACCACTTCAATTTAAACCATTACATTTACATATACTAATATCATTAATACTATATTAATCAAGCTTAAAAGTTAAAACCTTCCCTCGATTTTTTTAATCATTAAAGATAAAGATTAAATGTTGCCCCATAAAAGAATTTATCCTTTTACAGAGTTGGACGTAGGGATAAACTCAACGGACAGATATGGCCCACGTGCAACTCGACGCCCTCGTGGACGTGCAGGGCCCACCACTACCCAGGTAGAGTACAAAGTAGAAACGCAACTTTCCGCGCGTGCTAGTTTGGAGTCACCACAAATGCTTGAAAGTTGGGTCCCACCTCTTCAAATGCCGACACGTCATAAAAGTGGACTACCAGCTTGGCTTCCCACAAACAGCCCCAACCGCCTGTACACCCGTGGTACCACTATCCATCCCCATTAATTTTCTTCCACTTCACAATTGCCAAAATTCCTTCTTTTTCAAAGAATCCGGTTTGGTCATCGTGATTTTATGAAATCAATGGTTATATTTCACATAAGGCATAAATCCAGTAACAAATATTCTTTTATTTTCAAATACCACTTCTAGTTCTTATAAAAGTTAGTTTAATATTTTATTTAGTTTTAAGTATAAAATCTTAATTCATTTTATTTCTTGTATTTGTTTTTTTTAATAATCCTTGTAGTGGTTACGCATGTCTAATTATAGTTCTAGCTAATATATATAATTAGTAAAAGTATCTTAAAGAAGATAACATTTATTTATTATGAATAACTAACTTAACAAATTTTTTTAATTTTCTCAAATTAGTACAGTTAACTAGTTCTTATATTAAGGGGCAGGAAGTAGTACGTCTTTATAATAAATAAGACAAAATGACAAAAAATATGTGGGAAAATATGGTAAAACAAAGTGTAATAAAGAAGAGTATAATTAATTCAAGAATAAAATTAAAAAATACATTAAATATTGAGACAAACCCAAATTAAATCTTATAAATTGGATCACATATGTCCTCAAATTGAAAACTTATAAATAATATACAGTGACTAATTTATGTAATCAATTTTAAAGCCTACAAAAATTACATTATTCTTTAGTCATGAAGAATGCACCATCTATTTCTATTAAAGATGAGCTCTTGAATTTCAAAAATAAAAGTAAAGGGGAAAGAAGCGGAGAAGTGACAACGTAAGTTAAGTGACCAACAATAGACTCCGAGAGCTATCCATATTCAAAAGATATCTTTTAAAGTCGTCTCCTATAAGAGAGATAAAATCATGCGCGCCAAGCTCATGGAAATAGATTTGGTGCCCATATCTAAAAAAGTCAACCCCATGTATTTCTATTTTCTCTTATAACTTTTGCGCCCACTCACAATCAAATAAATTACATAACTTATAATTGTTTTTTTTTTTTTGCTTTACGTGATTTCATGTCCCAAATTTTCTAAACCATTAGCGGCAAGTTTACATGATTTTTTTTGAAAAATATACACCTCAAATATTATCTCAATGATTAGGATGATATCCTAAAATTTGAGTGAGAGGGGACTTTCTTACATATTTTTGTCAATATAAGCTAGAAAATATAATGTTTTGATGCAATCCCTCCCTTAGCTTCGATGGTAATTGTAGGGTGACATTGACCAACCTCGCGGACGTTCTCAGAGAGTGGTAATTAATATTATTGAACTTATTAAAGAATGAGGGACTTTCTAATTTTTCTCTTCACTGAAATTAATAATCACAACAAAGTGTTGGCCATGAATTGAAAATATGCCAACAATTTATACGGGATAAAGAATTAACCGCTACATCTTTAAGAGGGAGTGTGTATGAGCGTGTGTGTGTGTTGGGGGGAGGTTTCATTTTCATTAATATGCACACATTTACATAATAATTTGGTACAATTATGTTGTATCAACTTAATGTTATTTTCATCAGTCCAAAAAAAAAACTTAATGTTATTTTTAGAGTTTATTTTTTCAAACAAAAAAAAATCTTATGAGATCGTTTTCTTTTAAGTAGTGTGTGGCCCGTAATATCCGTCGGATATCCCTGGAGGGATATGCATAAAACTATTACCTTTTTCTTTTTTTTTGGTTTTGGCTTTCAAACACGGGTACTGTGCATGCACAAGGATGAAATGATTAAAGTATGGCATAGTGGATGATAATTGTAATTAATGAACACTTGTGTGGGGAGAGTGGCTATAAAAAGCCAGAAGCGGAGCTCAGTGGCAGAGAAGCACGAATACATATTAGTGCAGAAGCAGCATCTCCAACAATAGTTTTGGTTGGTTCATTCTCATATTACGAAACAATATGGGTGAGGCTCCTGAGCTGTGCTATGTGAATAACAATAGTAATGGCTTCTCCAAATTTGGGCATGAAACCGACCAGAACTTCACCCACCACCACCACCACCACGATTCTTCCACCTCCGCCTGGTTCGAGGAAGTCATCGATCACCATCTCAAGTGGTCTTTTGCTCTCAATAGGTTCTTCTCCCATCCATCCCTCCTTCTCTCCGCCTTCATGAATCCTTACACATATATTTAATTTTTCTTGCTCTGTCAAAATCTCAACAGCGTCCTTCATAAGGGGATTAGCCAGTACCAGGAGATTGCACTCTTAGACACCAAGCATTTCGGCAAGGTTTAATTCCGCCTCTCTCTTCATTCACATCATCAATAAACCAAAACAATATTCATTCGCGTACTCTTGAGTTTTCCCTCTTGTTAGAACTGAACTCTGAAAGTGTTTTACTTTTACACAGGCGTTGGTGATTGATGGGAAGATGCAGAGTGCTGAATCAGACGAGTTCATTTATCACGAGTGCTTGATTCATCCGGCTCTCTTATGTCATCCCCAGTAAGTTCCCTTGCTCAATTCACTCTCCTTACTTATCATATATACTCCAATAACATATTGGGAAAAAAGACAAACATAAAAACAAGAACAAGAGGGGAAGTGCGCATATATCAAAATATTCGTTGGGATAGTGTGAAAGGGCTTTTAATTAGAAGGCTTTTAATAAGATGAAGAGGCATTGTAATGAATGAAAATGTTGATTGATGCGCATGGGACAGCCCAAAATCAGTATTTATAATGGGAGGAGGCGAAGGTTCTGCTGCTAGGGAAGCCCTCAAGCACAAGTCACTAGAGAGAGTTGTCATGTGTGATATCGACCAGGTTCCTTTCTTCATTAATTACATTTATTCTCAATAACCCTCCACGATCTTCCTCCATCAATATTTCTTTAACCCAGAAAAAAAAATTGCAGGAGGTGGTAGATTTCTGCCGTGAATACCTGACTGTGAATAAGGAAGCCTTCTCTAACAAGAAGCTTGACCTTGTCATCAATGATGCCAAGTAACTTTTTCCGATCCTTCCTCCCCTTTTTACTCATTTTCTGTCTTCATATATTGCCTTTTAAAGATTTTTGTCTTTTCATTCTGAATATGATATATATATATATATGTATATTAATTACATCTCCATCCTATAACAAGCATGCGTGTGTGTTTTATGCATTATATAAAGATGGCAGAACGGCATAACTTATAATAATACGATTTATTGTAAATTTTATTCTATGCATTGATGATGTTGATAGATTGATAATATCTTTATATATTGATGGCTACAAATATGAAATAAAAAGGATAAATATTCTTGCTAGTTCGACTTGTTTCTGTTGTGTCCAAGAGTCCAAGTAGTTCAAAATATAGGCATTTCAACTGCTGAATACTCCAAAATAGACCCTTAGGCCTTAGCTCCTCCTTCGCTAGTTCTTATCCTTTAGCCTTTAATATCCAAATCCCCAATTTTGACCCAGTGATGATTTTGATTTAAGTACGCATAATGCAATTGGATGGGATCTAATATACAAAATCTGGTAAGAATATTAATTTTTAAGAGTATAAAAATTAATAGTGACATTTATTTTTAAATGTCATCAATAGATAGTAAAATAATAGTAAGATTTATGACATATTTTACCATTTAAAAATTAGGAGTAATATAACTTATTTTTTAAATTCCATGCCATATATAAATTCCACCAAAAATTTTAAGTATATGGTGACAATTTCAAAAGAAAACAAAATATAAAATGAAAATGTCCGTTTTTACAAAACAAGGAGATTATAGATATAACCCTTTATGGAAAAGAAGGGCGCGGGAAGCTATTTGACTTCTAATCAAAATAGTGTTAATATATTTCCTACTTTTCTTGATATGATCCCTTGAAAGTGGAGTCGAGAGATCATGTCTGGTCGGTTATGATTTTCCCAATAAAAGCTATCGCTAGTGTATTCCTTTTGTCGGTCTTGAAATAAAGCAGTTATGAGTAAAATGTGCGAATTCCATTTTGATTTGGATGAAGGGGAGAATTAGAGAAGAGGAAGGAGAAGTACGATGTCATAGTTGGAGACTTGGCGGACCCAGTGGAAGGAGGGCCTTGCTACCAACTCTATACTAAATCCTTCTACCAGAACATCCTCAAACCCAAGCTCAAACCCAATGGCATTTTTGTCACCCAGGTCCCTTTTTTAACACTACGCCCTTCCTCATCTTGTGAAGACCTATTGTTATTTAATGACTCATACTGTTGAGCGCTTAATTCCCTGTGCAGGCTGGACCCGCAGGCATCTTCACCCACAAGGAGGTCTTCACTTCCATATATAACACAATCAAACAGGTCTTTAAATGTAAGACTCTCTCATCCAGGCCTTCTCTCATTTCTTTATATTTTGGTTGAACCGATCGAACTTAGGACTTGCTCCTCTTTCGTGTGTTTTTTATGCAGATGTGACTCCGTTCGCAACTCATATACCTTCTTTTGCTGATACCTGGGGATGGGTTATGGTATGCAATTATAAACCTTTGCTCTATTAGACAGATGTGGATTGCATGTTAATTAGTGTTCACTTGAATCTGTGTCATGTGAATCTAGGCTTCAGACCAGCCATATTTTATCGGGGCTGAGCAAATGGACAAAAGAATCGTAGAAAGAATAGATGGCGAATTGCTTTATCTTAATGGCTCTTGGTTCCACTCCTCTGCCACCATGAACAAGACTGTTTCAGAATCGTAAAAACATTTCCCTACCGTTACCTATTTCTTCAAATAGAATTAAGCTTTGATTCTTGAACCAAAACTGTACAATACCAGAATCATTAGCGTTAATATATTTTGTTATTTCAGACTGCGAAACGAAACCCATGTGTACACGGAAGAAGATGCTAGATTTCTGCATGGGCATGGCGTGGCTTTTCGACTCTAAGGTTCTTGGGGGAATTGATGTACAGATGAATGGAGCTGGAGCTTACAACAAGCGTGACAACTTTACCCTAAGAAACTAATCAGTAATTCGCAATTGTTTTGTCAATTTGGTTTTAGGAGTTTGTGTTAGCTTCACCAAGGTGCTCTTTGAATTCTAAGCTTATTAACACAGACAGCCTTCGTCTAATATCTGAATCAATAAATTCAATTCGAGGCAGTCGCCCCTTCACAAATTTTCCTTCTTAACTCGACAGGATTGAAGATTGAAATTACCCGCTCTTCAAGTATCAACTAATGTGGCATAAATATTGCCAGTATTTTTTTTGGCCACAAATTGGGGAAATTATATTATATGACTCCACATTTTACTAGGGATGTTGACAGTAATTGTAAAATAAAACTAAGAAAAAATAGAAGATCGATGGTAGTTGGAATTTGGGTGACCCTGTCGAAGAAAATTAAAATGTGAAAGTTAAAAACTTGTAAAATAACCAATAAGCTGTTGGTTGAGATGGTAAACAGTTTCATTTCTGTAAGAAAGAAAATACAAGTTCGAATCTCATGAAGTACATTTATTGAGAAGACTTTAACTTTAACACTCCCAACCCGACAGAGATTAATATCAAACTCAAAATGTACTCTCAGTTATACCCAAAGAAAAAAAACTGTGAAATATCTCTAAATTGTGGTCTCATTTTCGTAAAAAAAAAAAAATACAAGTTCGAATCCTGTGAAGTGTACTTATTGAAAAGGTTTTAACTTTAATGCTCCCAATCCGATAGAAATTAATATATTATTTGATATCTTTTTGAGGATATTTATCAATTAAAGTAGGATAATTTGGATTGATTACAGATATCTTGAATTAAATACTGATTGCATAAAATTAGAAATTTAAAAGAAAATATTTTTATCTATTTTTAAATAATTGATTTTGGGCTTTATGATAGTATCTCAAATTATTTTTTGCAGGTCTTAACAAAAGAGAAATAAAGATAATAGGAAAACTGAAAGGGAGAAGGAAAAAAATTAAAAAAAAAATGGAGACACAAGCAACTTGAGTATTAAGGCATCAGTTTATTATATTATTTATATTTTTATTTATTCATAAAAAAAAGCAGCCAGGAATTCCACACAGGCCGCCAATCATCCTTCAGATTTGATTCGTATATATCCCCTCCTTCAAACATGGAAGAGACCACGCTGCCAACATCAATTCATATACTTTCTCACACAAACACGCCGCCAATAACCTTGAAATTCATTCCTCAGTTGCAAAGAAAGGGACGCTGCCACACAACTCAATTTTTCTCCTCCAGTTTTCATATTTCCCTTCGGCCAAAAACACACCTTACCAATAGTGGCGTGTCGTCGACTTCTTCCATAACCTTCATCATCATCTCCCTTCAACCAACCATCTTCATCACCTTTGGCCTCCATTATTCCGTTTCTTTCTGCCAAAATCTTTCACACCCATTCTCTCGCCGTAGCCTCAATGAATTCTCATTACTTCAAACATATTGTGGATTTTTCTGGAGCCATGAGAGGCTAATCCTATGTGCTCCTTGGAGATGAAGGAGTAGTTTGAGCTTGGAGCTTCAACAAGGATAGTATTTAATTTTTCAATTAATTTTTTCCTGACCTTCATTAGATTTTTCCTATGTTAGGAATATTCTTATTTGATTTGGAGACTAAGATTATGCGTTATAATTTTTGTTAATTGAATTTACAGTTTAATTTGAGTTGTGCTATTTGGGATTTGAATTTATATATATTTCCTTTGCATTCATTAAAATTATTTTATATGACATATTGTTAGATTTTATGATTGAGATGTATTGCAATTGAGTGTCTCCGTGAGTATTCTTTGAAAGGAAAACAAGTTTTATTAACTCAATTTAAATTGCACATCAAGTAATTTTTAAAAATATCTTAATAATTTGATTATTATCTAGTGTTTAGAGTAGTTAAGTGTCAAGTTTACTTGACTCAAACCGTGTTTGGGATTTCTTTTTAACATGTGTTATTTTACTTCCATATCTTTATTAAGCAAGGATAGCTACATTTTTTTTACAAGAAGCATTCTCATCATTAATTTACTAAAACCCAAATTTGTATTTTTCATTCTTTCTTTATTAAAAATACAAAAAAAAGTAGTTTAGATTTATTTTTTTATTTTCATAATCAGTTTTATTAAAATAAAATCTTTTTTTAAATTCCTCATTTTTAATTCTTTTGTCACTTAATCAACTTAGAAATTAATAAAAAACTATTCAAGAGACATGACATGAGTTGTAGTTTACTATGTAATTTTATTTTATTTTTAATTTAAACCAAGATGACTAAAAAAGTTCAAATAAGTAGCATACCAAGTTTGGGGCGTCAAAACCTACCAACATCTAATATCTACCAGTACCACCTACCTAAAAGGACTAGATGTACTCCGATATTCATATACATCATAAAGCCGTTAAGTCATAGCATCATGACCGTCCAATTTGATCAAAACACCACTCCTACATTATCTAGTATCTAATAAACCCCACCTAGCTATCCTAAACCAAACCTACCTAAAAGGCACGTGCTTGCAGAACAATGAGCGTAAGCAAGAGTTATCACTTTAGTGGGCCCGTAACTGATCCAACATAGCTGACATGGACTGCCTGAGGAAGAAGATTGTATCTCATATCAAGCTCCTCGAATATTTTCTTTAGTTCCATCACCAGTTCTGCTATCCTCCTGTTCTTCTCCCCGTAGTCTTGAAAATTCATTGTGTGGCTAACATACAGAGCCATTTTAATAGTATTCAAATTTTCTATCTGCTTAACCATTACGGTATGATTAGCATGCCAGTGATGCGGATTTCTCTCCAAGTACCTGAATGAACAAAGAGACTAGAAATAAGTTGGAAAGGGAAAACAAACAATGACACTAGAGAATAGAGGTACATAAAGAGCACAACAACAATATTGTTTCTATCATTTTCTTTGTCATGCAAGGTCCTATCCTTTCAATAACAAGGAAAGATATGCATGCAATACAGTTTTCTGTTCATGAAGTCCCAGTCAAACATATGCCAGATCCTTCAACTTAAGCAAATGCAATATCAGATGTCTGGCATACTTGAATATGATATTATTCTGTTGTGGCCAACAACAAAATATGATAATGTGCTTCTTCAGTCGTTGAGTTTAGAGGAAATCACAAATCGTAGAAGAAAACTATTATGGCAAAGCATTTCAAGGAACATTCATATAGTCTTTCTCGGTTAACACTGTGTCAACGAAAAAGGAATAAAAAACCTGGATACCACAACCTAAAAGGCAAAACACCACTGATGAAAGTGATCAACACAATCATGCCTATGGAAGTTACATTGAATTGTATACCCAAATTGAAGTTTCCGCGGAAAGTAGAATATAAAACATCAATATATGCATATGCAAAGTAAGAATAAGCTGACCTCTTTATTTTTCCCTTCAGTGCCCCAATCCTCTCCAATGGTGTCATAAAGTCAATTGAAAACTCTATAGCGTCACCCATATCCGGGCTTCTGTAATAATTGCTAATGGGTTTTGTGGCCAGAACTGAGTTTGGATAGAACACCTTCTCATTATCGGGTTTCAAGAAAACCGTTGTCAGGATGTTCATTTCTTCAACCAATAGCTGCCATGCCACATTACAGAAAGCAAATAAATATGCAAATTCCTAAGAAAGGCATAAAATTTGGCTGGAATAAATTACCTGAACCCCATCTACAACACATCGGTCGCCAACATCAAATGGATGCATTACAAACACAAATACGATAGCCTCAAATATATTTTTGCACGTGTTTCCAAACATGAAGGTAGCAAACACTAGCTGAGAAGAAATGAACACCAGTACTTTTGTTGTTGCAATCCCCACCAGTATAAGCCACAAAATTATGATCAAAATAACCAGGACCCCTGTCACAAGCTTGTTCAATTGCTTTACAGCAGTCTTGGTGTCGCTTAAGGCATGTGCCAATGCCTTGCGTTCCTGATAGACCTTTACCTAAATAACGCCGATATTCAGTCTGTTTGACATAGCATTTTGGAGGGGAAAAAGTAACTTATAAGCATGACAAGTCAATTTGTAAATTTGAAAGCTGTTTGTTATAACTTCTGGTCAATCTGACTTATGGGTTGAGAGCTACTTTTTTAAACACGATTGCAAAATACCTAAAACTTATTTATAACTTATGCAAAAGTAGCTTTTTGGAATTAAAAGACATTTTTGCCCTTATGTCTATGTTGCTCTTATACTTCTCTCTATATATTCTTTGTACTTTGTCTTTCCAATCAGTTTTTAGTTATTTGTTTTAATATTCTAAAGCAATTTTTAATAGTTGTTATAATATTTTTAATTTTTAATATTATTTTTCATTCTATATTTACATAAATTATACAGGGTATATCATCCAATTAATTATATAATATTATTTGGTTCAAAAATTTTCATATTAATATGATTTCTAATTTAAATATATTTTATTTAATTAAATAGAACTTTTTCATATTTTGTAAATTTAAAATTTTAATCATTTCTCATTATTTAATAAAAGTCATCCTGCAAACTAAACTTACTTATTAAATCATAATCCAAACAAAACTTTTTACTTTACGAACTAACTTTTATAAAAATTAATCCAAACATAAATCACACTACTCAATCTAATTGTTACTTAATCTTACTTTTCTAAAAGTCAGATTGAAAATGAGTTGCTTTTTTTACCGTTAATCCAAACAGAGCCATTAAGGAATGAAACTGTTGCCAGCCAAAAGGAACTTGAATTCTGGATAATCAAAACCGAGTTTATGTCTACACATAAAATCCCTTACCACCCATTTTGTCAAAGCCTTTCTGTCTATTCGTCCACTGTCTGATCCTTCAAACAGGGGAAAGATCAGATCTACTTCTTCCTTAATCATGAACCTCAGGAGGTCATCTTCATCTATGTACCTTAGTATAATTAAGAATTTTGCATTATAGGAAATTCAAAAGGGAGAAACAGAATGGATGCAAATTCGTTTACATGAATCGAAAAGGGTGCAAATATTCTTACGAGCAACCAGGGGCAGAGACATTCCTGAAAATCTTATATGCAGCAGCAGTTGCTTCCATCTCATTTGTAATCTCTTTGTCGGTTTGTTCTTGTCCTCCGTCATCAAAGCTCTCATCTTTCACATTAGAGATTGTGGACAGCCTT